CAAGAGTAAGGGAGACAGAAAGTAATTCAGACGGGGGTCCATGTGAGTCAGGTGAAGGGAGACGAACAGATGGAATAGTGTTACGCACAAGGGTGAGGAGGCCACGAGCCTGCCCACGGTACCGAGGCAGGGTGTAAACAGTATAGCCAGAGAGGCGGAGTGGAGTAACATCGTCTGTAATGGTTTCCTGAAGTAGAGCAACATCTACTTGATGGGAGAGCACAAACTGGGCGAGGTCTGTCCGGCGAGGTCTAAGTCCCTGGATGTTCCATTGTAAGAAGAGGAGGGAACGGCCTCCGGTGTGAGATGAGTCGGAGGGGCTAGACAGGGCTCCAGAGGAGGTACCAAATTCTGTTGAGAGAAATGGAGAGGGAGGAGTGGGAGAGCGAGGGATGGATCCTCCATCTCGGGAGATGGAAGGAGGCGGGTCATCAGGGCTTGCAAAGTGCGCCCCTGTTGGGTCAGGGTGTCCAGAATGAGTTGTTGTTGCTTCTGCAATGTCGCAATTGTTTTCACAAACAAGTCGAGTTGGGCTGAGAGAAGGTTGATTTGCTTGGAGTGGCGATCCAGACGGAGAGTGATTGTTTCCATAGAACCAACTTGGTGTACCTGTGCAGGAGCTGGAGGTGGCGGCGAGGATTGCCGAGGGCCCGACTGGGCATGTGGTGGTGGTAGCGACGGTGGTGAGGGTTCAGTTGAGTAAGAGGTGGTGGTGCTGGTGAGAGACAGCGGGGGTCCGGGTGGGCAGGAGGTGGTGGTGACTGTGTGGCAGGGCCGGCAACGACCTTGTTCCAAGAACGGTAGGGAGAGGGAGGGAGGGGAGAAAGGATGGGTGGTAGGGGTGATAGGGGGGGTGGTAGAGGAGAGGAGATCAATGGGAAATCCTTGGTGGATGGAAGAGGCGGTGGTGGATAGGATTGAGGTTTGGTTGACAGGGGCTTCGTCAGAGACGAGGGCGGTGGTACAAGGTAAGTTTTCCCCGGGCGAGTGCCAGGACGCTGTGGGCAATTGGCATTCCAGGCGTGGTGACTGCCATGGCAATTGACGCACCGTGGAATAACTGGGATTTTGTTCTGAATTTTCGATTTGCATTCCACTGTTTCGTGAGGACCTGCACAGAAACCGCAGGCGACCATCCTCGTGCACTCCCAGGTGCGGTGTTTCCACGATTGGCAACGACCACAGATTTTCGGGGTTCCGATAAATCGGTCGAGAGGACAGTTGTGAATTGGTCCTACATTCACCTTCGGGGGGAGGGGGCCCACCCACCAGCCGATGAGTTCGTTGGATGGACGTTTGGAGACCGGGTTGATGCGGCGTTCCATGTCCAGTAGTTGTGGGAGAAGAGGGCGAAGATCGTCGATAGGGATCTCCCAGGGTACGTGGCGAACCATTACCTTGGTACGACGAGTTTCTGGGGTGATGATGGTGAACTTCAGCATCACCTCCCCCTGGGGAGCAGGAAAGCCCACCTGAGTGAGCAGGCGTACCGTCTCGTCCATTTGTGTGGTGACTATCACGGCTGTGGGACCTCGGCGGAGGCGAAGTGTTGAGTCCTGAAGTGGAGAGCAGTGACGGAAGAACCAGGTCGTCCGTGTGCTCAGAGGCAAGTCCCGAGGGAAGGCGAGACGACGAAGGCGCGACGGGGCAGGGAGACAAAGGGAATCCCCTATGTCCATCGTCGGCGGAGGGTCGGTCATTGAGCCACATGTAGGCTCACTTGGGGACCCCGATGACAGGAGTCCACCCTCTACAGCCCCAGAAGGGGTGCAAGGGGGAGCCGTGGCCCCTGCTGGAGACCCTGACTTCTGAGGTTTCTGCTTCTTCTTTGACGTGTCTTCAAGAAGAAAGTCGTCAGCATCACTGTCACCTACTGCCGCCATTTCCAACGAACGGGAGCGTTTAACGGCGGGCATAGGGCACGTTGGCAACACTGCAGTCAGGTGGAGTGGTAATGACGTCACTGCTACGTCACACTATCACATTGCGCATGCGCAAACTTGAAAAACTTTGCTCAGAGGGATCGGGTGGTAGGACCAGATGTTTTATCCCAAAAATATGACAAAGTCCAAAAGTAACAAAAAAATATATGCCACTGTGCTGATAACTGGGTCTTACTATAGTTGTTTGCACAGGCTGGGATTGGTAGACGCGCTGAATTCGTCAGAAATACGAATTTTAAGGAGCAGTCTCATACAGCCTTTGTTGACACTACGCACGCATGCGCGTTCGCTGAACAAAAGATATTATCGCCTTTCCATGACCCTCGTATATACAGTAATTGTCTCAGTATCCTTCTATCCCTGACATGGAGTGATTGCTAAAGATAAATAGCCATTATTTTTTCAACTGTATAAGAGAGAAGACACAGTGCAGCGGATACATTGACCACTTTACGAAGCAGCAAGGAACACGGTCGATGGATTCTGGATTTATTGGTCCCTTGGTAACGATAGACTATATTCAAGGCAAAAAAAAAGTAAAACAGTAATATTCGATTAGATAAATTCTTTCTTATCCATTTTTTATATAGTTAAACACACTTTGACAATTTTCTGCTCGTGTTTTTTTTTCTAATACAAAGTTTCTAATTAAAAAAGTTAGCTAAAATCTGTATATATGTTCGTAGTCGGTTCGTTTTCTTGCAGTCCAACAACAACTACAATAATAATAATAATAATAATAATAATAATAATAATAATAATAATAATAATAATAATAATAATAATAATAATAATAATAATAATAATAATAATAATAATAATAATAATAATTATATTTTAGAACTTGTAAGATCGATATATTCTTTTCATATTTCATGCAAATTGGTCTGTTAAATTAAAATAGTTGCTGTTCCAGGGATTCGTGCGACTTAGCTTAAGAAACGTAACTCTGGAGGCTCTACAGAAAACAGACCATTCTTCATTCTCAGGATAAACTTTATAATATCTTGAATAAACGTAACTTTCGCCAAACTACTTGACCATGTAAACTGTTGGCTGTCACGTTTACCATAAATTCTTACTGCCACTCCCATTGTAAAGTGATGGTAGTCTGTCTTCTTGGAAACTGCCTATACCACTCATTGGAAAAGTGCTGACTACTTCTCTTAATGTAAAATGCTGGCCACTTTATCATCTACTGCAACACAAAGTAATCAAAATTCGATCATGAGAGAATTACAACAAATAAAATTTCCCCAAAAAACTACAAAATATTGATCGGTCGCATGTGACAAATTACATGGAGGTTAACGAAACCTCGGACAAGTTCATAACTACTTTTATTGGCGTTCTTGATGACGTACTCCGATTAAAGGAGATAAGAATAAAAGCTAGGACTCAACCCTGGATGACAAACGAGATACTGGAATCATTCAGACAAAGAGATGTAAACCGAACGAAAGAAAAATACACAAATAATATGATTAAGTAAAATAAATATAACTCCAAAAGGCTCTGAAAGAAACCCTTGGACACAACAACAAAACAAAAGAACGATCCAATGTAGTGATCTCTGGCACGTCGCATCTGAAATTACAAACCACTTTAATTCCCTTTATCCAACAGTTACCTTATCTTCAGGGATACAACGGATATTTTTCTGTGTAGAATTTTTTGACTGTGAAAAGAGTCCCAGGTTAGTAAAAGCTGACTAATAACACCGAAATGGAATCTAATTAGGAAGTTCAAAGCGTCAGAAAACTATCATGATATATTTCACAACTTATGCAATAGACTAACATAACCAATATACTGGAGGAGTCATCGTTACACTGGATGACCCACACATCCAAAAACTGGCATGAATACCTACCTCGTTCCCTAACATCCTGACCTGGTATTCTGAGAAAGGGCTTTGACCGGCTGTTGCATGTCACCAATAATCACGGCGCATCATGCAACCACGACTGTGAAATGGCATAGAGCTGTGGGAAGTCTCGGCAGGTCGGGTTGCTTAGATTGGGGAGACGAGCCATGCTTCTAACCGGGTTAATTTCACACAGTGTTAGAGGTCAGCAGAGTGTGTAGTTAGCTCTGGGAGATGCCTATTGTTACTTCCCTCATTTAGGCTTTTGATATTTTCCCCGACAGGAGGAAATTAACAAACGTTCATCTTGTATTTAATCTGCTCATAAGAGTTTTCCCAGGAATAAACCGATGTCTGTAAGTCCTTCCTGCTTTACTGTAGGTGTTCGAGAAACTAACATGTATTAGACTAGAATGGTTCAGGAATACCAATACTATCAATGCTTAATCCCAATGTGGTGTCAGAGCAAGAAGGCCACTCAGTTTACCTCACTGTCTTCTAATAAAAATATTTCAAACTTCTTTGTTAATTTGTTTTTTAAAGTTAGAGTATTCCTAGAGATCTGTAGAACATTAACACCATAGACCTTTTTATCATGAAATATGGAAGGGATCAGAAGAAGGAGGAGGAGCTCAAGTGTTGGAGGAGGAGTAATCACCTGGAGGGTGACTACCTCCTTGGATCTTTACGAGGAATTGATGTATGATGGAAATGTGGCCAGGTAGATGATGTAGTAGTGTAGCACGGAGCACGATTTTGATTACTACTTTGGCCAAAATTATCTACCTGGACTCATTTTCATCATACATCAATTCCTCGTAAAGATCCAAGGAGGTAGTCACCCTCCAGGTGATTACTCCTCCTTCAACACTCGAGCTCCTCTCAATCAAGATGTCAATGTTTTGTTCGGAATTAAAATCTCAACTTTTTCTCAGAGTTCGATATTAGAAAGGCTATATAGCTATATTCTGGATCTTCCTAGTAATCTGTGATAAAGGGGGTGTCCTCTTTGTACACCAGTGAATGTTTGTTTGTTTGTCTGGTCGATACCTCAGGCACACTTTGAGCTAGAAAGCTAAGATTTGGACACAATAGTGACTGAGTGATTTGGCAAAAATTAGTTGATATTTGTTCTTACTTTTTCTTATATTAAACACCGCCCTTATCACATTCCGTCTCCATGTGCCTACCTGTAAAAAGGGTGGTTCTCCCTACGTCTGTACCACAACACCAGCAGGGGGGTGTCTACGTTCTTGACTCTGCAGGGAAGACGAGCTGTCCACTGTGCCATCGTCTCTATGGTTTCCGGTGCTGCTGAGAAAAAAAGAGACACACACTATTAGAGAATAATATATATTTTTTTCAGGTCATTGGTGCAATATAAATATATTTTCCTATTTTTCTTTACACCTGAAAAATTGAAAGTTGTTTTGTCATCACACACACACACACACACACACACACACACACACACACACACACACACACACACACACACACACACACACACACACACACACACACACACACACACACATACACACACACACACACGTCGCCCTTGACTCCCGGCATAGCTTGTCCTCAAAGCAGCCTTTCCTATTTTATTCCGCCAAGACGGCTGGAGGCTAAAGACACAAACAGACCGCTGCCAAGAGCTGTTCTATTAAACTAATTATAATATTTGAGCTGCAGAAAACGTATATTTTTAAGACCTTCAACCTGCAATATCCTTCACAATCATATAATTACCCATAGTGTGTGAACCCTTCCTAGGACGTAACTGCTTGGTCATTACACTCTCAGGTCACCACTGTTAGGTCATCATATATCACAGTCTCAGGTCACCACCGTTAGGTAATCACTGTCTTAGGTCATCACTCTTAGGTAATCACAGTCTTATGTCATCACTCTTAGGTCATCACATTTTCAGGTCACCACTGTTAGGTCATCACAGGTCACCATGATAAGGTCAGTATTGTTTTGTGTCATCAGTGTGTTAGAACAGTTATGTGTTTCGTCACCTCAGTATTTTGATCATCATTGAATAAGGTTTCCACCGCATGACTTTATCGAGTTCTCGCTGAGTTAAGCCACTATTGTGTTACTCCATTATTGTGTTCGGAAATTGGTTGTGTTAGGTCATCACCGTGTTAGGTCATCACTGTGTTAGGTCATCACTGTGATAGGTTATTACTGTGTTAGGTTATTACTGTGTTTGGTTATTACTGTGTTTGGTGATCACTGTGTTAGGTCATTACTGTGTTAGGTTATTACTGTGTTAGGTCATCACCGTGTTAGGTCATCACTGTGTTAGGTTATTACTGTGTTAGGTTATTACTGTGTTAGGTTATTACTGTGTTTGGTTATTACTGTGTTTGGTGATCACTGTGTTAGGTTATTACTGTGTTAGGTGATCACTGTGTTAGGTCATCACTGTGTTAGGTTATTACTGTGTTAGGTCATCATCGTGTTAGGTCATCACTGTGTTAGGTTATTACTGTGTTAGGTTATTACTGTGTTAGGTCATCACTGTGTTAGGTTATTACTGTGTTAGGTCATCATCGTGTTAGGTCATTACTGTGTTAGGTTATTACTGTGTTAGGTCATCACCGTGTTAGGTCATCACTGTGTTAGGTTATTACTGTGTTAGGTTATTACTGTGTTAGGTTATTACTGTGTTTGGTTATTACTGTGTTTGGTGATCACTGTGTTAGGTCATTACTGTGTTAGGTTATTACTGTGTTAGGTTATTACTGTGTTAGGTTATTACTGTGTTAGGTTATTACTGTGTTAGGTTATTACTGTGTTAGGTTATTACTGTGTTTGGTTATTACTGTGTTAGGTCATCATCGTGTTAGGTTATTACTGTGTTAGGTCATCACTGTGTTTGGTTATTACTGTGTTAGGTCATCATCGTGTTAGGTTATTACTGTGTTAGGTCATCACTGTGTTAGGTTATTACTGTGTTAGGTCATCACTGTGTTAGGTTATTACTGTGTTAGGTCATCACTGTGTTAGGTTATTACTGTGTTTGGTTATTACTGTGTTAGGTTATTACTGTGTTTGGTTATTACTGTGTTAGGTCATCATCGTGTTAGGTCATCACTGTGTTAGGTCATCACTGTGTTAGGTCATCATCGTGTTAGGTTATTACTGTGTTTGGTTATTACTGTGTTAGGTCATCACCGTGTTAGGTCATCACTGTGTTAGGTCATCACTGTGTTAGGTTATTACTGTGTTAGGTTATTACTGTGTTTGGTTATTACTGTGTTAGGTCATCATCGTGTTAGGTTATTACTGTGTTTGGTTATTACTGTGTTTGGTGATCACTGTGTTAGGTCATTACTGTGTTAGGTCATCACCGTGTTAGGTCATCACTGTGTTAGGTCATCACTGTGTTAGGTCATCACTGTGTTATGTCATCACTCACTAGAAATCTATAACGATCACACCTTTCTTAAGTAATTTTCCTAGGGTCTATTTTTATTTATCTCATAACTATTAATTAAAACAAATTTGGCGACCGAAGAGTGAAAAAATAATTATTCAAAACATAACCAATTATTTTAGACTTATTACCTTCATTTATAACGTTAATTATAAAAGTAATTAATAAAATGTTACGAGTACTGAAATAATTCCTCTTGATATTTTTTTTATTATTAGTTTTCCATGTTCGTGTAAATATGTAGGTCATCTAAACAGGACCTTTTTATTGAGCTTGTATTAATACCTTCTGAAATATATTGTAAATTAGGTTCTCAGTACGCTTAAAAGTGTAAGTGTAAGTGTGTGTGTGTGTGTGTGTAAGTGTGTTTGTGTATGTGTGTGTGTGTGTGTGTGTGTGTGTGTGTGTGTGTGTGTGTGTGTGTGTGTGTGTGTAAGTGTGTGTATGTGTGTGTGTGTGTTCTCAGCAGTGTCACTCAGCTTTAACAGAGCCCTACTCCGGTAACCTCATTGGTCGGTTATAATCGGACATAAATAATTATCCCTATTTATAAATTGGTAGAGTCACACATCGAGAATAAATAATTACAACAATTAAACGAATTATTCATCTGCGATATTGAATTAAGAGTCACCTGAACCAACCATCCTCACTCATAAACGATTGTCACCGTTTGATATAGCAATAGAATTAATCAAATGAATTAGTTTACTGAGTCAGTCACTTGAACTCGACAACTGAACCATTTAACTGTGAACCTTGTACAGTATTTGGATGTAGATCAAGTTCTGTTCAACCATCCATCAGAATAAATTATCTGACCTCGAAAAAATGTTCAATAAAGTATAAAGTAGTTTGAGAACACTAAGGTAACATTATGGTTGATACACTTATGGGAAAAAGTTGTTGATAAAAGTAAATATTTTTTTCTTCTACTTTTAACAACAAAGAAGCATTCGTCGACACAGTTTAATGGAGTAGCTGTTCACAGATTACTGATGCAGCTTCGTGATGCCTCTGGCTGGTGGAGCAATGCTACAGATTCCTGGATATGACAAAAGCTACAGGTTTACCTCGAATTAGGTCAAGCTAAAGAATGATTGTGTTGTATAAAGCTAAATACTGATGGAGACAGCAGTAGTGAATGTGACAGTGATGGAGGCAACAGTAGTGAGTGTGACAGTGGTGGAGACAGCAGTAATGAGTGTGACAGTGATGGAGGCAGCAGTAGTGAATGTGACAGTGATGGAGGCAACAGTAGTGAGTGTGACAGTGATGGAGGCAACAGTAGTGAGTGTGACAGTGATGGAGACAGCAGTAATGAGTGTGACAGTGACGGAGACAGCAATGGTGAGTGTGACAGTGATGGAGACAGCAGTAGTGAGTGTGACAGTGATGGAGACAGCAATAGTGAATTTGACAGTGATGGAGACAGCAGTAGTGAGTGTGACAGTGATGGAGACAGCAATAGTGAGTGTGACAGTGATGGAGACAGCAATAGTGAGTGTGACAGTGATGGAGACAGTAGCAGTAGGTGACAGTGATGGAGACAGCAGTAATGAGTGTGACAGTGACGGAGACAGCAGTAGTGACAGTGTGATGGAGGAGACAGCAGTGTGACAGTGATGGCGATAGTGACAGTGATGGAGACAGCAAGTGGAGTGTGACAGTGATGGAGACAGCAGTAGTGAGTGTGACAGTGATGGAGACAGCAATGTGACAGTGATGGAGACAGCAATGTGACAGTGATGGAGACAGCAATAGTGAGTGTGACAGTGATGGCGACAGCAGTAGTGAGTGTGACAGTGATGGAGACAGCAGTAGTGAGTGTGACAGTGATGGAGACAGCAATAGTGAGTGTGACAGTGATGGAGACAGCAGTAGTGAGTGTGACAGTGATGGAGACAGCAGTAGTGAGTGTGACAGTGATGGAGACAGCAGTAGCGAGTGTGACAGTGATGGAGACAGCAGTAGTGAGTGTGACAGTGATGGCGACAGCAGTAGTGAGTGTGACAGTGATGGAGACAGCAGTAGTGAGTGTGACAGTGATGGAGACAGCAGTAGTGGAGGAGGCAGACACACTCCCCTTCACACTTCAGTGGGCGTCTATCTTCGTCCCTGTTAATCTGTCAGGTCACTGCTGCCGGCCAGGGTACCTAACTCGCACATTCTGTTAAGTTTGGTTCTCAATATGCAAACTGTGGGATTATCTACCTTAAGTTCCACCCTAGTCTAGAATTGTTATGACTCTGAGTAGTGACCATGAAGACAGTGGAGCACATCTGAGCGGTGAGGGTGACCTGGATTGCGAGTTCTGAGGCCTGGGTTAATTAAGGCAGGTAGTGTGAAGACACAGGTGCATTGGACCACGGGGAGAGTTGGCTCAGGCAGTCGAGGCACTGTTCCTATATTTCTGCTATATGCTGAGTTTGGTCACAAAGTTATTATTGGTTACAAATTTCCAGCTGAAGATATAAAGTTAAGGAATTCAAATCAACTAAACCGAAGAGATGAAACCTACATAATGTATTATATTAAGAATGAAAATGGCAAATGAAATAGAGATTAATAAGTGAAAGGATCATGGGTGTGATGGTTGGCAATATCTTGTCATTTGGAAATTATATTAATATTTAGATCAAGTATATAATTGTTATGACATATTTTCAAGACCTCATCAAGTTTTGTTCCATTAGTCCTCTTCCCTCCATCCTTAAGCAAAAAATACAAACTACCTTCCTTTCTTGTGTTATTGGAAGGTCTTGTTTCCTTCACCCACATCAGGCTGGATAAATCGCTGCTGATGAAAAATTCTCTCCACTTCCCCGCGTCACAACTTTCTTCAGAGCAACAGGAACATAAC